ATATCTTGCCGCCTCTTCCCGATATCATTATGCTTTACATCAGAAGTAAAGAGACCTATGTCTTTTCCATTTAATACTCGAGACACGTGGCTTGTCGTGATTGGCTCTGTAGTTTGCAGCTGCTTTTTAGAGTTTCAGCGGGTGTGTCAGTTTGACATGGCGGTTCCATGATTACGATTTATGATGACGTTTTTCCTTATAAATACCGTATCATGCATATTCCAAAAAATCTCCTACTCTCGTTCATTTTCTCTAAGACTTCTTTGCAAGTCTCCTTTTCTCTTTGTGCTTCTACTGTACCTAATAATGGCTTCATAATCTTCAAACCCTACATCATATTCTGATCCTCGGCGTGCTATTATAGTGGCTGAACTTCCTTTTACTATGACTCTAGTTAGAAGTAGGAATAGAGGTGGCAGGTTTCGTAGCCTCAGTTCCATATCAAGACGAAACATCACCTCTTCTAAGAAACATTCTTCAAAACCCTCTCGTTCCTTCAAAACTTCTTCCTCTAGAGCCAAATCCACATCCAACGCTAGGGATCAAAATGAACCTTTAGTTTCAGAGATTGTTCCCTAAGAATTTTTTTTATCTCTAATTGTGAGGCATGGAAGAAAGAAGTTTCTTCCATAACAACACTTAACCCTACTGATTGATTCCTTCTCTCATCACATCTGGTCTTCTTCCTCTCGTATGCCGAGAATGTCATTGGAAATATGATTTTCCAATCACAACCCCTAGTGTCGATGACCAAATAACCATCTACTGTGAAGGTTATTCGTTCATCAACACTTATCATTTCACCTTAGAATTCCATCCTCCAATTTACCCAGTGGTTATAGAGTTTTGCCGCTATTTCAACATTTGCCTGGGAAAAATAGGTCCGATAATATGGAGGGTAGTACCTTGCATTCTCTACTTGTCGGGTTTAGTTTTTTCCCTTTCTGTTTCCGGCATCTCCTCCATCTGTATCCTAACATTTTTTTGCGAGGGTGTTTTTACACTTGCAGCTAGAAGCAAATGCATCTTGGATAGTATTGAGGATAACTGTGACCGAGGCTGGTATGCTCGGTTCGTGGCTGTTCCAACACATGCTTTAGTGGGAGAAAAGACTAACCTTCTTACTCGTGTTTTCTACTTTTTCAGCAATCATGGAAGTCTTCAGTGAGCTTCCTGATTTTCATAATTGGGTAGAAAAGATGTTATCTGTTACTCCCATGGAGCAAAGATCTTTGACATTTCTATCCCAAAAGTTTGGATGGAAAGTTAAAACCTACGGTATGCTACTTTACTTTATTTTGAATTTTGTGATTTTTTATGCTTGTTTTGATATCCTTTTTGATTTTCAGGATTTGCAATCCGCGGAGTTTATCCTGCTCCCGATCCTATAGTTAGACTTGATGTCAACACTTCTCAGGAGCGAATTTTGAATGAGTCCTCTTCAAAGAGGAAAAATAAAGAATCCCATGCCTCTGATGAAGAGAAAGAAGATAAAGGCTACTTAGTGAAGAAGCTTCGAGTTAGGATGCGTGTTATTCTAGATGATGAATCCAACGCCCCTCAGAACAAGCCTTCAGACTCCGTGCCTTTCCACTTGGTTGATCAGCCTGAGGATGTCCCTTTGGAAATTTCAGAGGATGAAGATGTTAATCCTGCCTTCAACCCTCCTTCAAGTCCTATTGAGAAGCTCTTTGCCCAATGATTTGAGGGTGAAGAGGGAGAATTTGGCTTCGTTTCGTATGAGCAACCTCTTGCTACCCTTCCTATGAGTTCCATTGATCCCACTGCTGCTTCTGTTGCTGCTCTCGCTGTTGTCCCTCGAGATGAAGCTGGTTCTTCAACTGGGAGTGGTATGAAACAAGTTATGATCGAAGTCCCCAATGGCATGAACTTACTGAGGAAATCCAACCATGATGCGGTCTGGTTAAAACCTTTAATTAGACCCCTCGAGAGGAAAATGCTTGACTCCCACTCCTCCATTACTTTGATGAATGATGTAATTCATTCGGCTCTCAAGGTATGTCTTTCCTCTCTTACTTCTTTCATTTCTTCTTTCTTTAAGTTACAAACACCTTTCCCTTGCCTTTTTGCTGATCAACTTAACATGTACAAAGCTAATGGGAAGGTTGGCTTGGACTGATCAGCAAGTTGCAGAGTTGAGCATGGAAACTGACAACTGGAAAGAGTGATTTAAGAGCCTCTAGTTAGAGAAGAATATGTTGGCTGGTGAGAAATAAAATTTGGAGAAACAACTTAGGATCACTACTACTGAGTTAGCAGTAATGAAAGCTTCTGCCAATTAGGCAGAGAAGGAAAAAGCTAGAATGAAGTCCATCTTTGCTGAGCAGCATTCAAGGGCTACTGAGGAGATTCAGAGTTTGAAAGAACTTCTAAATTAAAAAGAAGTGTATACGAGTAATCTTGTCCAAGTATTGACTCAAGCCCAAGAAGATCTCTGCACCTCCTCCAACAAAGTTAAGTCCCTTGAAGCTATGTTAGAACCTTTGAAGGTTTCTTATATGATGTTGCCGAGGCTGAAAAAGAAGAACCGAGGGCTCAAGTTGAACAATTTGAGAAATATTACGAGGCTCTCGAGGATAAACTAAATCTGGATGTGAGTTGGACCTTCCTGAACACTCGTCTTGAAATATTGACTGAGGCTAGCCAAGAAAGCTTTGATCTCGAAGCTGAGATTTCTAGGGCTAAGGATGCAATTGAAACTACTTAGCATTGTAAAAGTTTCTCTACACCCAAGGGTGATTTAAGCAAAGACGGTTTGAAGACTGATCTTGCTGATCCCCAACCTTCATCTTCTAGTCCCCAAGGTGAACCTTCCTCTCCTTCTGAAGATGCTCCCTAGTTTTCTTTCCAACAATGCTTTTTGATGTTTCTTGGATTATTTTTGGTTTTTAGGAAACCTTTATCAACATTAATGTTAATATTTAGCATATTTTATGTATGCTTTTTCTCTTTAATTTCCGAGCTTTTTTCCGTATTATCTAAGTAGAATGAATGCTTTAATATGTCATGACTAAATACACAGTCTACTTATAAAAGAGGGCTCTTTTATATAAACGACACTGATGAAGATGACGTCACATATTCATATTGGTGTAAATGAAATACGAAGTAATTTGAAGAAGTTTTATTTGAACTTTCAAAACAAATAGTCATGTGCATCATTTTCATAATTGCTTTCTTTGTAGCGTTTACAGGTATGGACATAGTTATCCCGTGACTATATTTATAGCCTTGACCTAATAGCTCTTGGGAGTTTTTTATTAAATCTTCAGTTCTTCACTTCCCATTCAATCTTTGAGCTTGAAAATTTTAAATATTCTTCAAGGTTTTTTTCTTTAAGACATGCTCTTGAATATTTGAAATTTTCTTCAAGGTTCTTTCTTTAAGACATGCTTTGATGCTTTGAGCTATGCTTCTTCCATACGTATAGTCCCCCCCCCCCCCCCCCCCCCCCCCCAGTGTTTGAGCTTTGAATTATTAAAACTTGAACACTGGATCAACTTTCCTTCACGGCCCTTTCCCTTAAAAAGGCAATACACACGGGACTCAGGGGTAATTGTTTAGATGATGACTACTTAACCCTTCCCATCAGAATTATTGTAACCTAGACCGAGAATAATTTAATATTTCACATATTTTTTGGGTCTAATGTCATCATCTGGTTCGGGCTAGCTTTTTGCCTATCATCTAAAATGGTTAGTAAAATTTATATGAACAAATAAATAATGAAATTTGAGATACCTGACCGTGAATACTTGCTCAAAAGTAGTATTTCTTCAAGTGTACCGCATTGCAATTGGAAGGTAATAATTTCCCATCTATGGTCTCTAACTCGCATGGTCCTTTTCCAACAATGCCTTGAACTCGATATGGTGCTTTTCAATTCGGACTTAATTTGCCTGCATTTACCACATGTGTTGACTGTAACACCTTCTTAAGGACAAAGTCCCCAATCATAAAATATCGAAGATTCGCTCTTCTGCTGTAATATCGCTCAATCATTTGCTTTTTTGTGATACCATCCGTATAAAAGCTGCTTCCCTTCATTTTTCTATCAAATCTAAATTTGTATGAAGTTCTTCCTTGTTGGATAATTTATCTGTATGTTCAAACCTCAGGCTTAATTCTCCTATTTCTATTAGAATTAGTACCTCAATACCATAAACACGTGAAAATGGAGTTTCTTCCGTGCTAATTTTTGTCGTTATTTTGTAGGCCCATAGCACCCTTGGTAGCACTTCAGGCCACCTGCCTTTTGATTCTTCCAAACATTTCTTTATATTATTGACAATAATTTTATTTGTCGACTCTGCTTGTCCATTAGCTATTGGATGATATGGTTCTAGAGTAATCCATTTAATTTTCCATCCTTTGAAAATGTTAGTGACCTTTGCTCCCACTAATTGTGGCCCATTATCATATATAATTTCCCTTGGAACCCCAAATCTACATATTATATTCCACCAGATGATGTCTATAACTTTCTTTTCTCATACCTGTTTGAAGGCATCTGTCTCCACCCACTTAAAAAAATAACCAGTTAAAATTAATAAAAATTATACCTTTCCTGGTTCTTGTGGAAGAGGACCTACGATATCCATTCCCCACTTCATAAACAGCCATGGTGCGATAATTGAATGAAGCAACTTTGTCGATTGATGCATATTATTTGCATACTGTTGGCTTTTATTGCACTTTTTACGAAGTTTTCTGCCTCGTCTTCCATTTTTAGCTAGTAATACCCTACTCTTATTAGTGTTTTCACTAGTAACCTTCCACCAGCGTGATTTTCACAATGTCCTTCATGTATCTCTCACATCACGTATTCACTTTGTGAGGGTCGAAGGCATCAAGCTAAAGGTCCACCAAACATCTTTCGATACAAATTGCCTTCTTCAATATCGAGCTACTTTTATTCGCAGCAATTTGGATTGTTTTTATCCTCAGGTAATATTCTATACTGCAGATAATTCACAAATTTATTTCTCTAATCCCATGTTAAATTGTTGAAATCTCATTCCTGATTGATCGAGCGCTGACTGGAATAGGTGCATCACGATTACATTTTTCGTATTTGACACATCGGCTACTGATTCCATATTTGCTAATGCATCAGCCTCCACATTCTCCTCTCTTGGTATTTTAATAGCTTTCCATACTTGGAACTGACATAATAATTCCCGCACCTTTTTCAAATATTGTTGCATATGTGTTTCTCTAGATACGTAATTCTCTTGCATTTGATTTACCACAAGTTGTGAATCTCTTTTGATTTCAACTTGATCAATCCCCATCTCGTTTGCAGATTCCAAACATGTAATCACCGACTCATATTCAGCTTCTTTATTAGTAATAGGGTAACATTTTATTGCTTGCCTAATAATTTCTCCTAAAGGTGAAATTAAGACATTATCCAAAGCTGCTTTTTTTACATTTGAGGATCCATCAGTATATAATGTCCAAGTCCCCAGATTAGATTCGGTAATTATCTGTACCTCATTTTCAGCTTCAAGAAGTAAGCTCGAACTGAAAGCTGCTATGAAATCTGCTAGTACATAGGACTTTATGGCAGTTCGAGTCTGATAAATAATATCATATTCACTAAGTTCTATTGCCCATTTAGCTAATCTTTCTGATATTTCATGTTCACGTAAAATATTTCTTAATCAAAAAGTAGTTACAACAGAAATAGGATGGCATTGAAAATAGGGTCGTAACTTTCTTGATGCCATTATTAATACTAGTGCTAGTTTTCTAGATGAGGTTATCGTGTCTCAGCATCCAACAAAGACTTACTAATATAGTAAATTGGAGATTGTGTATCTTTTTCTTCTCGCACCAATACTGCGCTTACTGCCACTTCTGATACGACAAAATAGATGAGTAATCTCATCATCCCTTGGCTTTGACAACAGAGGCAGTTTTGACAGATATGCTTCGAAATCTTTCAAAGATTGTTAACAGTCATCAGCCCATTCAAATTGATTTTGTTTTTCAATAACGAGAAGAATTTAAAACACTTCTCTGAGGATGTAGATATGAATCTCCCTTGAGCTGATACTCTCCCTGTTAACCTTTGTACTTCTTTTTTAGTCGTGAGCACCTCTGGTATCTCTTCGATCACTTTAATCTGAGCTGGATTTAATCGATCTCCTTGTTCGATACAAGGAAACCTAAAAATTTACCTGAGGCAACGCAAAAGGCACATTTCTCTGGGTTCAGCTTCATGTTATACTTTTGAAGTATGTCAAAGTTTTCATTCAAATAACTGAGATGATCTTCTGTTTGTGCCGATTTTACTAGCATGCCATCGATTTAGACTTCCATGATTTTTCCCAAATGGCCTGACTATTTAGCAATAAGTTCCCCTGTCTGTAATAAAAGAAGTTTTTTCCTCATCTAGGGGATTCATTTTTATTTGATTATATCCAGAATAAGCATCTAAACAACATATAAGTTTATGACCATTGTAGAATCAATTAGTTGATCTATATGCGGTAAAGGAAATGAATCTTTGGGGCATGCTTTATTTAGATCAGTATACTCTACACATACTTACCATTTTCCATTTTTCTTTGGCACTAAAACAGTATTAGCTAACCAATCAGGGTACTTTACCTCTCAAATTGAACTAATTTTCAGAATGTTTTGTACCTCATCTAGAATTACCTGATTTTTGAATGCTCCTTGCATTCGTTTCTTTTGCTTCACGGGAGGGGGGAGGGAAAGGTGTAATGAATCTTTATTTAACTTATGAGTCATTACCTTCGGTGGGATACGTGTCATATCTAAGTGCGATAAGGCAAAACAATCAACGTTAGTGCGCATAAGTTCAATTAACTTATATTTCAACTCCGAGCTTAGGTTTTTTCCAACATAGACTTTACTGTCGGTCCAGTGAACAAATAATACAATAGCTTTAATTTATTCCATACTTTTTTTAATAGTCTTGTTTTCCTTCGAATCTTGGACCACGTCAAGCCTCACATCTATATCTGCTTCATTCCTCGCACTTTCAGTAGAGGTAGAAAATAAATTCTCCTTAGTCGGACACTGTAATTGCTATTTTTCATCCCCATCTTTGGATGCTCCGCTTACCGCAACAACTGTGTTGATTTCTCGTGCCGCTTGCTGATCTCCCCTGATATGACAAATTCCCCATTGTGATAGAAATTTGATAACCTGATGCAAAGTTGATGGCACTGCATCCATGTCATGAATCCACGGCCTTCCTAAAATTATATTGTAAGCCATGTCTGCATTCACCATTTGGAATTTGGTGTCTTTCACGACACCTTCGGCAAATATGAATAATGTAATTTCTTCATTTGTTATAACACTTGAATTGTCGAACCCAGACAAAGATCGATCCTTGTGTATCACATGATTAGTCACTTGCAAATTATTGACCACTCTTAATACTATGATATTCATAGATCTACCTGGATCAATCAAAACTCGCTTGACATTAGTATCATGAACAAGTAAATATATTACCTGTACATCATTATGAGGGATGAACAAGACATTTGCATCCTCATCATCAAATGTTATGCTATCTCTTTCCAAGACATGTCGAATCTACTTTCTGTAGGTCATTGAAATCTTGACTGTTCTTTTTGTTGCCGTGTATGTAACTCCATTAACCTCCTTACCCCGGATTATTACATTCACCGTCCCTTTTGGCGATGGGGGCTTTGGTGGTTCTTCCCTGATTTTCATATAAGACTGCTTTCCTTTCTCACTGAATAGATCAGTGAGATAAACCTTGTTCACTAAAAAATCGACCTCCGCTTGTAGGAACCTACAATCTACTATTTTGTGATATGATCATTATGGAATTCACACCTAAATTCCTGACTTCTATTGCTGGGATCTGATCTCATCTCTTTTGGCCATCGCACCTTATCACCCATACCTCTTAACACAGTCACAAACTTAGAACTACTGATATTGATATTGTAATCTCCTATTTTTGATCGGTAATTGTGATCGTTGCTCGTTGTTATATCTCGTTCCTTCCCAAATAGAGAAAAAGAACTTGCCTCCTTCTGCCGTGATATCTGATCAAACCGTGCTTGTTCTGATTTTTGCCTAAGATCTCTCCTCGCAGGTCCCATGTATGGTTCATACCTAGTTTTTCGGATCTCCTTTTTGATTCTGAGCGTCTATGTCTGAACCTCTCCTCCACCTTTGGTTGGGATACCGTATCTTCTTCTATTCATAACTTTACGCTGTACCTATTATAAACATCATTCCAAGTAGTTGTAGGAAATTCCTGTAAACCTTCCTTTTATCTTCTCGTGGCTTCTGAACATCTCTCAATCAAGTTGCTTGCAAATTATATTTCTACCCAATTATCAGGTACACGAGGTAACATCATTCTTTCTCGCTAGAATCGATCCACAAATTCTCTAACCGATTCCGTACTCCTTTGTATTACCTTGAAGATATCTTCCATTGTTTTCTCTACATTTTGAGCTCCCGAATGTTCTTTTATGAATGAATCTGCAAGCTCAGCGAAGTAGTAAATTAAATTTTCAAGTAAAAGAGAGTACCATGTTAGTGCCCTTTTTGTAAGGGTTTCACCAAATTTTTTCACCAACAGTAATTCGATTTCCTACTTAGTTAAATCGTTGCCCTTCATTCTTGTAGTAAATGCGGTAACTTGATCTTGTGGGACGATAATCCCATCATACTTGGGAATATTGGGCATCTTGAACTTTTTGGGTATTGGTAATGGTGCCGCACTTGGCTTCCATGGTTGCCGTGAATACTTGTTAATATCTACTCCTTTAATCTCAGGTGGTACTCCTGGTATCTGTTCTATCTGCTTGTTTTGTTCCTTAAGCTATTTTTGCAAAGTTAGAACTAGATTTTGTAAATTAGAAGTATTTGGCGTACCTGATCCTCCGGCTCCAGAATTATTTGATATTTCTCCACATTCAGAGTTTTCAAGCCCTGAATGAGGGTTTTCCATAGTTGTGTTAACTGGTGGTGGATCCTGAACAACACTCAGTAACCCACTTGCAAAAGCACGCAAAGCTTCATCGATCTGCTGCGTAATAAATTACTTCAAGTTATCTTGCAAATTTTTATTGTTCCTCATTTTGTTGTCCAACATAACGACTAGTGGATCTAACATGTGAATTTTCTCGTGAACGTTGTGGAGAATGTGTGGGTTTGTGGTGCGGAGGAGTCCCTCCTTGTCGTCCATCCTCAACCTGAACTATTTCATTAGTTCCAAACATAATTTGTGGCTAAAGAAAAAATAAAAAGTGAAAAGATTACTATATTTCCCGGTAACAAACTAATTTTTTTAACTAAAAAATTATTTTTGAGGTCAAAGCAAATAAAAGAATAATTCGAGTTTCCCCCAAAAGTAGTGACCCATAAGTTTAACATAGAATCCAATTGCCTGCCCGTCAACTAGAAAAATAAAAGCAAGGCTCACATTGGAATAAAGTCTTCAACAGTGAAATCTCTAAGCTATTAAAAACCAGTTCAATAAGAGAAGTCAAGTATCCAGAATGGTTTGGGAAGTGGTTGTTCCAAGAAAGAACACAAATGGAGGGTGAGTATTGGCTACACAAACTTAAACATGCATATCCCAAAGCCTCTTTTCCTTTGCCCTATGTCGATCAACTAATAGATGCTATTGTTGGCCACGAGTTATTGAGTTTCTTTGACGCCTATGCTGAATACAACTAGATCCAAATGGATCCAAAAAATAAAGAGTAACATCATTCATAACCGAAAAGGGGACTTATTGCTACAACGTGCCATTCGGTTTGAAGAACACATGAGCAACATATTAGAGACTGGTCAATACAAGGTTTAATGATTATAACAAAAAGTATATGGAAGTCTATATCGACATTACGGTTAGAGGACCACTTGGACCACCTATGTCATGACCCCAACTTTCCTCCGTAGGATGTCGTGATGGCACCTAGTCTCTATGACTAGGTAAGCCTAATAAATAATAATAACTTGGCATAAACAATTATCATAATACTAAAACAAATCTGATTAACTGATATAACCTTCCGAACAAATAGAATCTCATCAATACACTTCCCAAAACCGGTTGAACTAAGTCATAGGCTCTATAGAATAAAATTAGAATATCTAATACATCTCTGTCTAAAGGAAAAGAAATACAACAGTAGTAAAAGCAAAGGACGGTGACTCTAAGGCTTGCGGACGCCGAGCAGGCATACCTTGAAATCTCTGTTAGGCAACTACAAATGATCTCTAATGGCCGGCACGAGCAGACGTACCTGAATTTGTACAAAAATATGCAGAAGCGTATTATAAGTACACCACAATGGTACCCAGTAAGTATCAAGCCTAACCTCAGTAGAGTAGTGACGAGGCCAGGTCAACACACCTACTAGGATATAAATAAGCAGTATGAAAATGTATTATAGGTATATAATGGAAAGCGAGGAAATAACTGACACGAAACAAGATAATAACGTGAACTAATACCAGAAATCAAATATGGAGATAGCATAAAATAAACAACTAAAGAGGACTACAATGATCATATACGGACAACAACTGCTAGAACCTTAAAAAATGAAACAACAAGAAATGTTTCCACCAAAACTCTTTGCAGCATGAAATAAACATCAAGAATCACAACGACGTACCGCCTCGTGTACAATAAAATCACAACCGAAGTACCGCCTCGTATAATCAAGAATCACAATCGAGGTACCGCCTCATATTCACATTTCTCATATTCAATCACAATCTTTCCTTATACCACCGCGTGAGCTTTACATTTGAAATAGGTTTTGAAAATAGTTTTTCCGAAATAGCTAAATGCACTTTAGGACACCTTATGATGCCGTGTGGCTTCACGTAGTTCCCTACAAGCAACACGCACATAAGTCCCACCTTATACCGCCACATGCACATCAACCCCAAGCCTTATATTGCCACCTGCATGTCAATATCACATTACAATAACAACTCGTACCACAAGTGCCCATATATCACAATTTGCCAACAATCCACAATATTAATATTTTCACAATAATAGCCCACGGCTCCACCACAACGGGTACAAGAATATCAACAACAACAATGAATGTAAAATGCTCAAAAAGGAAGATGTTTCAACAATAACAATTTCGCCTCAACGTGATAACGACTTTCACAACTTTAACACCAATAACTCAACGATGAGAGACGATGTATAACCACGATGTTAAATA